ACGCAGCCGCCGCCGCCACCAGCCTGTGCCTACTACCACAATGACTACCTTACTAGTATTACAACTGATCATGTGTTTTAGACGACAAAAAGATGGGTGTTGGGTCCTATGGTTAAAAATAAAACCATTGTAGGCGGAGAAGCGATAATTTATAACAATAACAAAGGTCTTTACATTACCTGTAAAGCACTATAAACACAAATACTTTTCTAAAACCTTATGTTCAAAATATGACGTTAATCACCATTCACTATCAGCAATTTCAAGTGAGATTACAGTGATGATGATGACGATGATAAGTAGGAACATCCTGGTTGATCTAGCCACTGTCACCACCATGATAGTGAGATCACCGTCATTCTTGAACTTGATCATTATCACCAATTTTTTTTACCATGACGGGGAATCACAATCAACATGAGGAGGAGGACGAGTCACCATTATTATATTTCTTTCCATGACAGTACAATCACAGTCGAGCAACCACGATAGTGATTCACCATAATTTACCTATTCTGACAACGAATCACCATTATTTTCCCCACCACGAAAGAGAATCACCATTATCATCATCTACCCACAGCGACAGTGAGTCACCACCGTAACAGGGAGACATAGCGGACGTGATGTGAGCGTGAACACAACAGGAAGATGTACCGTTGTAGGGGGACGACCTGTCATCTTAATCTCATAATTCCCGCCACCTCTGCCATCACCCCGGATTACACCAAGTCATTAAGCCACCTCTTAAACCACCCGTAAAACATCTTGGCTTATATACACGTCTTGAATCATACTTGGATCACATCTTGAATCATTCTCAACTCAAACTAACGAATTATACCACATCTTCAATTATATGCAAAACATCTTGGATTATAGAGTAGCTATACACATCTTGTACCTTACTTCATCATCCTAACATAAGAACATCTTGGGTCAATTTCATTATATTTATATTAATTGAGAAACGATGGTATATGAAGATACAATAAAAGGTTCACTAGGCTAGGTTATAATACAGGCACAGACACAAGAATGTTACGCTTGAGTAATCTACATACACATATAAAAGCATAGACACAAGTAATAGCATGACACGCTTGGCTAGGCAATAGATATAAATACAGGAATAGGTTTATGTAGATACTCTATCAATTCAAGTAAAGATAAAGTGTGTCAAAATGAAAGGCACATTCTACAGCACAACATACTAGCAGGTTCCAGACACTCATGGTGTAATGTCCTTGTAAATACAAAAACAAGCAGCCATGGCTTGTTTATATACCACGGTAATAATGTAATGACACATCACACAGAAAACGTGTTAGAAATGCAAGAGACAACCGAAGTAATTAAATTAAAAAAAAAAAGTTGAACGTAATGTGTAATGGAAATAACACTTGTTCTGTTATATAATGCTACTGCAGGCCATTGTCTCTGTTGCTATGGCCATTATTTATGTCGCTATAAACACAATATATGCTGTTACAACAAATATATATTATTTTATAACCACCATTTGTTATAAAACCCCAATTTCCGAGTTGCAATTCTTACTTCAGTGTGCAGTAACCAGTGAAATTGCTATGCCTATTAAATTTGTTGATGACTACTGTAATTACTAACCTTGTTACGAGCTTAATGCACAAAATACATTATAACAACAACATCATTTAATTTGTTATTCTCACCATTACAATACCCACCACACGCGTAAAAACATGCAAACACTATTCCTTGTCAAGGTACTTATTTACCCGCCACTCTGGTCTGTTTACCACACGCCCGGCAGCCCACCTGGGGCCACGACCGTCATGGAGGTTCCTACCCTGAATATTCCTCGTAAGTGAAAATGTAAAGGCAGCGTCACACTAGCACGCTTTCCGTCATTTTCTTGTCTCAATTTTCTAAAGATTGTAATTTTGTCTGAACGCTCCTTGTTACACAAGCATTGAGAACTAGCCAGTCTTTCCGCATTGTAGACAAACATCAGACGTATTTACGAATATCAACTTTCAAAAAATTACACTTAAGTACTTCATTAAAAATGTGATACCGAATAATTTTAAAATTAAATTTCGTTACTTTACGTGTCTCGATATTTATTTTATATAAATATCCTCACAATGAGTATACTGTAGATCTTGACCACGGAAATTGGCGGAAGTCATTCCGGGGAAACGATGTTTCGTTTGAGCGACACTAGAAAAATGAACACTAATGAGAAAAAAAACACTAGTGTGACGCCGCCGTGTTGATAGTTCCTAGCTTAACTTAAGCTTAGCATAAACCCAACGTCCATAAATGTCCTAACAATTACACTGAAATAATACTTTGACTACATACGTTTACTTGGGACCAATATAGGTGGAATATTAATACCCAGCTAATGTTAAAGTACAGCCTCAGCGTGATTTTTATGCCATTTCTGGACATCAATTTTAAATTCTAGAGTAATACTATCAGGTACATTCTTACAACTTCAGTTACGAGAAATATTCACCGTACGAGCCTTTGTGACTAGTGTACACAACCGCCACGCCCGGCATCCCACCTAACATTTCCTGCTGCTCGTGTCACCAACAGTGTAGACCTGGCCAGCATAACAGACACTCCCACCTGCAAGTTAGTTTAACTGATGACGCCGCCACTGTAAACCTCTAGTAAAAGGCTTATAATGTCGAAAACAGAATATCACCACCACCCATACACTATTGAAACGGATAACATATTCACGCCTGAATGGTAAATGGAGACAAATCTCGCTAAACAATTCGCAATGGATAAAATATCAACACTAACATAATAGTCGACAGCTATCCTCCAATTAATAATATAGGCAAACTCCCAACTCCAAAATAATGAAGTTTCAAATATCACCAGCAGCCTCTTGGGTGGATTTCGTTTATGAAAAATGTAACATGAATTTAAAAAATTGTTATTTTTTGCTGAAATGTAGTTCAGTAATTTTGTCAATTCGCGAAAGCAGCGAACTCGTGGAGGCTATCTTACTTCTATCTCTCAGAAGGTAACTTAAGCCAGGTAAAGTTTAGGAAAGTCAGCTTGGGGTAGGCAGCGTTGTATAGGGTTAGACTCCGTTAACTTAAGCAGGGTCAGGGTAGGTTACAATAGGTGGGAGTGTGTGGTAGAAAAAGGTGTGTGAATCACATAGGCTAGGGAGGGAGCCGCTCATCCGTGGCCACCAGCTGCAACTGTACCCACACTACTTCCGTTGCCACACCAAATACTGTACATACCACAAACTATATAACACCGACCTATGTGTCAATCTAGCCAACTTTACCTATTTAACACTAACTAAATCTAACATTATCAATCACGAATTTACATTTTAATTCCCAAATTAACTTTTCTCAACTCGCTTTTCATTATCTAAGCCTATTAAAAAATAATCTTATCTAACCCCAACTTAACCAAGCCTTATTTAATTCTACACTACCTTTATTTAATCCTAATCTTACGTATACTAAACCTTAATAAACCAAACCGTATCTACCCCAACTTAACCGAAGTCAAAATCTAATATAATCCAACTTTACCTAAATTGGCCAAACCTTATCAAACAGTAACTTAACCCGGAGTCAGATTATCAAAGGATCGTTATGTTAAGTCTGTGTCAGCTATTATCCCAAAAATGCTTTTGCGGTTTTGTTCATGGATTTTTTTTCAACGTTGGCTATGTGGCGAATGGGCGAGATTGATTAACTTGGGGAAGCCCTTCACTACACCAGGGAATTATGGTAGCGTGTATGTGTGAGGCTTCCTGCACCTAAATCCATCTTTATCTCTCCCTCGGTCCTGATTCACAAGGATTTGTAGGAGATTTTTTTCACTCCACTGGGCATTTAGGGGCGTATCTAACAAAGAGTGAGTTTTCAGTGCCGTCTCTGTTCTTTTCTCACCCTTGTTTGTGCCGGTGCTTTGTGAGACAAAGGTGTTCTGGGTACTGTAGTCTAGGTGCAGCATATACGCCATTTTGGAAGCCTTGTTTCTGTAGTTGCCTAAATAAGCCAGTTAGATACGCTCTCATCCCGTCAGGGGGGAATTTAACGCACGTCTCTATCATAATTCTTCTTTGTGTGGGAGTCAGATACGTTCTCAACTGTTAAAGTCAGTGACATATTTAATTTACAAACTTGTAAAAAAAATTCATTTTCAAATGTGTCAAAGCTTTGGTGAGCCAGTTAAACATCCTCACATCAGTTGAGGAAATTTTAACTTACAAACGCTTAAATAATCCATGTTTGTGTCACAGCTTAAATGAGCCAGTTAATTGCATTCTCACATTTCCTGTTGCCAAGTGGATGAAAAAACGGTTTTCAACGATCTCGATGATTGGGTTTTTTTATCATAACGTTTGATGAAAAAAATAAGATAGCTCAAAGAAAGCAGTTCACTCTTGCCACTAGTACTTACGTGTGATGGGTTGGTTCTGCCTGAACACCCGGGAAAAATAACTAAACTATAATAGAACTTACCACCTCCTCCTTGAGTGGATAACAGAACACTTGGTGGACGAGTCTCAACCAACATTCACAAGGCTTCATTAGATGAATAATCCTCGTAAATAATGTAGTATATACACCTTTAGTACAAGTTGGCTGAAGATAATGAAATGGCATCAAAATTACACTGAAACTCTACCATAACACCACTCTGGAAACAACAGGGACATGAAAAATATATGGTAAGGTTTTGTCTTCTAACTGGTGCTAAGTGGTTGTATCTCGGTATACTGTAGTAGCTTCAGAATAGGTCCGTTGTTATTTTGTACATCATTTTACTATTTCAGCTTACGTCAACAGTTGGGTACATTCTCAAATCTTCAGTTACGAGGAATATCGATCGTACGCACCTTTGAAACTCTGGACCCTGGTGGACAAAATGAGACAAAATCGAATGTTTCCCATGAATGGCAATGGTATTCTCGTCAATGAAAGTACACAACAAAGTCAAATATCTGCCAAGAAACTCACCTCAAGTACAATCCCTGATGATAATCCAAGAGTTAGTTATATTCCACCGGATACTTTTTGTCTAAATTCACTATAAATCCCAAAAAAAATTATTTTCAATCACAAGTCACGACACCAACACTTGTTACTACCTCCCTCCAAGACAGTCACAGCTCCACTGTGTCTGTGACCGCAAGTCCGCAATGGACCAGTCAGGAAAAACTGTCATGTACATAAACACAAATAATAAGGATGTAGCTTCATGTTATTATATTTTTTTTAATCTCTGCATATCAGTAACTATTGTTTTTCTTCGTAAGTTATAAAATATTTACAAATAATACTTATACAGGTGTTGAAATATAATCCGCAGACAACGATCGTACGGCCGCCAGCAGTACCAGGAGTCGAGTTGATACCCGAGGTTACCAAGAACGAATTTTGGACAAAATTCTTTCAGCTGATCATCATAATCCTCCAAGTAATTAAGATAAGATAAAACACTTTGTTTCCCTTCTCTTATCTATAGAAATTATTGAACGAACGCTAATGAAAAACTCTTTAAACAGGGGATGCGCCCGAACGGCACCTTGAGATGTAAAAGAAGGAAGCAGTAAGATTGATTTCGAGTTTTGGAGCTGCTAGTTGGATGATGTTGGATCATTTCAGCTAACCCCTCCATCGAACTCCAACCCCTCAAACCCCAAACCCCGGACCTCTCAGTTAGGGTATAACGGATTCATATTTCAAGATAATTAAACCTATTTTTAACAATACAGTAATTTATTTTATTTGTTTATATTCTTATTATATTCCGTATAATTTTTTTCTTCTGTAAGAGCCTCTGGGATTGGGGTTCGGTAATGGGATTTAGAACTGAGTATTAGATAATGGAGGGTTTGTATGGCCGCCCCACACCACCTTGTCTCGCCCGCCCATCTCTGTATCGAAGGACAGAACCGACAATTTCTGGACCATGACACACTGTAAAACATCCCAGGACACACACACACACACACACACTGTATCGTGAACTACCATGACCCCCACACCCCACCATGACCCCCACACCCCACCATAACCCCCGCACACCACCATGACCTTCACACACCCCACCATAACCCCCACACACACCACCATGAACCACACACACATTCCACCGTGAACCACACACACACACTCCACCAAGAACTACTCACACACTCCACCATGAACCACACACACACTCCACCATGAACTACTCACACACTCCACCATGAACCACACACACACTCCACCATGAACCACACACACACACTCCACCATGAACTACTCACACACTCCACCATGAACCACACACACACTCCACCATGAACCACTCACACACTCCACCATGAACTATCACACACTCCACCATGAACCACACACACACTCCACCATGAACCACACACTCCACCCATGAACTACCACACACTCCACCATGAACCACACACACACACTCCACCATGAACCACAAACACACACCCACCATGAACCACACACACACCCACCGTGAACCACACACACACTCCACCATGAACTACTAACACACTCCACCATGAACCACACACACACTCTACCATGAACCACTCACACACTCCACCTGAACCACACACACTCCACCATGAACCACACACACACACTCCACCATGAACTACACACACTCCACCATGAACCACAAACACACTCCACCATGAACCACAAACACACTCCACCATGAACTACTCACACACCCCACCATAACCCCTGCACACCACCATGACCTTCACACACCCCACCATAACCCCACACACACCACCATGACACGCACACACATACACACACTCCACCATGAACCACACACACACTCCACCATGAACCACACACACACACTCCACCATTTACCACACACACACTCCACCATGAACCACTCACACACCCACCATTTACCACACACACACACTCCACCATGAACCACACACACACTCTACCATGAACCACACACACACACTCCACCATGAACCACACACACACTCCACCATGAACCCAACTTCAAACTCTACATCTCACTTTCAATACCCGTTGTTCTTTCTTTGTTCGGTAACTTTCACCTTTCAGTACTTGTGTGATGACGTTTATCTGTAACTTGTTTCAATGTTATGGGGACGTGGCCTGAGAGAATAAGAGAAAAAGGAGAAAGAAAAAGAAAGATAGAGAGATAGAGTGAGATAGAGAGATAGAGATAGAGAGATATTACTGTGTATATTTTTATTCCTCAGCTGTCACTATGTATCTGAATGTTTACTACGAAATATAAAATTATTCTTTCACTTTGATTTACTGAAGGTGATTTTTTTTTTTTTAGGATTTAAGCTGTGTGAGGTCGACTATTTTTAAACGTTTGTGTGTGTGTGTGTGTGTGTGTGTGTGTGTGTGTGTTAGCAACCCTGATCCCTGACACCTCGCGGGCCGGGTGTCAGGGATCATGGCCACTGGATGCAAAAACTTTATAAATATCGGCGGAAAAATACCGATTCCCGCCATTGTATAAAACGACCTACATAGTTGTGTCATATTTTAAAACAGTTATTGTGAATTTCCGTCTGTCTTTTGTTATGAAAATTTGATGTTGTGTTTATACATGTGAGAATTAGGAACCCCCAACTTATATCACCTGAAGATTAGACACCCTAACGCTAAATAGGGGGTTAGGTTAGGTTAGCTTAGGTTAGGTTTGACTGAGTTAATGTTAGGTTAGGTTAGGTCACGTTTGATTTGGTTAGGTTAGGTTAACAGCAAAGGTATTTAATCAAGGTGAAATAATCGCGGGTGCCTCCTAATCTCACGAGGTCTAATGATAGCGGCATTCCTCTCATAACTACCCAACAATCTTGCCTCATTGAGAGTTGATAAGACCTTAAGTGTTGAGATAAGTAGAGTCACGCCACAGCAAGACGGTATAAACTATGTACACAACTGTAAATAACTCTTATGTAAATCACCAGTAACGATATAAATCACCGTTAACTATATGAATTACCAGTAACGATATCAATCACCAGTAACGATATAAATCCAGTAACGATATAAATCACCAGTAAACTCAATCACCAGTAACGATATAAATCACCAGTAACGATATAAATCACTAGTAACGATATAAATCACCAGTAACGATATAAATCACCAGTAACGATATAATCCAGTAACGATATAAATCACCAGTAACGATATAAATCACAGTAACGATATAAACCCAGTAACGATATAAATCCAGTAACGTAAATCACAGATATAAATCACTAGTAACGATATAAATCACCAGTAACGATATAAATCACCAGTAACGATATAAATCCAGTAACGATATAAATCACCAGTAACTAAATGTAACAATCACCAGTAACGATATAAATCACTAGTAACGATATAAATACCAGTAACATTAACGATATAAATAACACCACGATATAAATCACCAGTAATGATATAAATCACTAGTAACGATATAAATCCAGTAACGATATAAATCACTAGTAACGATATAAATCACCAGTAACGATATAAATCACTAGTAACGATATAAATCCAGTAACGATATAAATCACTAGTAACGATACAAATCACAAGTAACGATATAAATCACTAGAAACGATATAAATCACTAGTAACGATATAAATCACCAGTAACGATATAAATCACCAGTAACGATATACATCACCAGAAACGATATATAATTAGTATGATTGAATTAGGCTAAGTTAAGAATGGTGACCAAGCTTGGGTGATTATAATACTACGTACACTTATATACTTGTTAAGTGGCCATAAGTCAACGATATGGATGGACTGTTACCGAGGCTTCTACTTATCTATGTACTTATTAGATGGTGTTATTGTTTACACTTTATACTTGTTTAATGCGTAAGAAAACAATGATTTTTTGTGCACTTGTTACCAGATGTCAGGCTGTTAGCAGGGTGTCTACTTATAAATGTCTTTGTATATACTTATGAGCTGATGTCATTGTTTAGCTAAAATTTCTACTTATTAAAGTGTTGGTATATACACTTTCATACACTCACACGCACACACAGACACACACACACTCACATGCACACACAGACACACACATACTCACACGCACACAGACACACACACTCACACGCACACTCACACACACTCACACGCACACTCACACACACACTCACACACTCACATACACTCACACGCACACTCACACTCACACGCACACACACACACGCTAGAGGACACTCCTGCTAATGTATCACCATCGATCTCGGCAATTGAAAGAAATTTTACTTTTTTCTTAAAGTAGAGAGTTGATGTGACAGTCTCTCACTCCCAGGCTGCTGTACCAGGGTAGTTTGGCTGTATCTGTGCTGTTCTCTCACTCCCAGGCTGCTGTACCAGGGTAGTTTGGCTGTATCTGTGCTGTTCTCTCACTCCCTGGCTGCTGTACCAGGGTAGTTTGGCTGTATCTGTGCTGTTCTCTCACTCCCTGGCTGCTGTACCAGAGTAGTTTGGCTGTATCTGTGCTGTTCTCTCACTCCCTGGCTGCTGTACCAGGGTAGTTTGGCTGTATCTGTGCTGTTCTCTCACTCCCAGGCTGCTGTACTAGGTAGTTTGGCTGTATTTGTGCTGTTCTCTCTCACTCCCAGGCTGCTGTACCAGGTAGTTTGGCTGTATCTGTGCTGTTCTCTCACCCCCAGGCTGCTGTACTAGGTAGTTTGGCTGTATCTGTGCTGTTCTCTCACTCCCAGGCTGCTGTACCAGGGTAGTTTGGCTGTATCTGTGCTGTTCTCTCACTCCCAGGCTGCTGTACTAGGTTAGTTTGGCTGTATCTGTGCTGTTCTCTCACTCCCAGGCTGCTGTACTATATGATAATGCTGTTATTTATCCCTCGCCTATTGGTGGACATCTAGCCAGCCATCACTGCCTCGAAGTTTGTCTGTATTTAGATTGAGAATTTCCGACTTGTAGATAAACTATCACAGCTGTTCTGGGAGAGAGAGAGAGAGAGAGAGAGAGAGAGAGAGAGAGAGTGATTCGTACGCCAAATGATTCGAAGTGCTATGTCCTGATGTTCCGGTGGTTCATTGCTTCGAAGATTATACGCTAGGTTACGTCATATGAGGCTAGGGAAGGTT